TTTTTTGCGGTTAGAAATTCGACCTGCTGCAGATTCGTATTGGCTTCGTTCCTGTGGTTCTTCTCACGCTATGGATAACAAAGTACAAAAAATAGCAAAACAAAACTCACGGGGTTAAAGGATCGAAGAACGCATGAAAAATGCTGTTATGTTCTACCTTTCATGCAATTTCCGAAATAAACAATAACCATAGCCAGTTTCCAACATAAACGATAGCCATCGTAGCAATAATAAGTCTGTTTTCCTGTCTTTCCGCTGTAAGAGACATTGTGTCTATTTAAGTCTCAATTTTGAGTTATCTTTGAAGTATCGCAGAGGAAGGATTATCGCCGTGACATTGGTGACATTTTAAGACTTATTTCTGCACCGAATTAGTTTGCAAAACTCAGGCCCCGTCCTTACTACGCCGGAGAAATTTGAAAACGCTGCTTTCTTTCTACGGTTGGGCCTGTGCAGTGCACACTAATCCGTCACCAAAACGGAGCTTTTCGAAAACGCTCTCCAAACCAGAGGAATTTGAAAACGCCGGCTTTGCGTTTTCGCGTGGACGGAAAACATTTTGAAAACGAAGCTTTTCGACAGCGATCACGTCACGTGATTTTCCTGCCCGAGTTTTCCTCAAACACAAATGGAAAATAACCGGTGATTTTTGCGTTTTCAAATTTCTCTGGCGTAGTGTGGACGGAAATATTTGATGCGTTTTCAGAGTGAAAACGCGGTTTTCAAATTTCTGCGGCGTATAGCGTGGCGGGGCCTCGGTGTAATCAAGACAATCGCCGCGAACAACGCGTTATGAACCATCCAAAACTCGAAGCAGCACTTGCAACAAGTGTCGCGCGGGAAATGCTGCAAAAACCACCTTGGTTGTTTTGGTCACTCGCCTGATATTATTGATTACCATAGTGACATGTTTAAAATCTCCCCTAAATTCTTGCTCAAAGTGCCAATTACTCAAGATCGAGCTCTGCGAGCTCCATATTTTTTATTATCGAATTGTGAACAACGCATTAAATGTTAGATAGAACTTTAATTTGTTCTAAGTTAAAAAAAAAGTCTCACTGAGGGGGCTCGCAGCCCCCTTAAATTTTTGAAACTTGACGGCGGCTCTGAAACTGCTCCGTACAATTTTTAAGACTTTGCGAAACGTTTGACCCTGAATTTACGTTTTACTAGCAGTCGTTGTTAACCACCCTAAATCATAAACCTACCCAAATCTAATTGTTTTTAATGTCTCCATTACTC